TATACCTTGCCTAGTTTACTTCAGTAGTCAGGATACAGTATACCTTGCCTAGTTTACTTCAGTAGTCAGGATACAGTATACCTTACCTAGTATATCTCGATAGTTAGGATACAGTTTACCATATTCAGCTTACATCAGTAGTCAAGATGCAGTGTACCTTACCTAGTTCACCTACCTAGTTTACATCAGTAGTCAGGATAAAATGTGCCTAGCTTACCTAAGAAGTCAGGATACAGTTTACCTAGCTTACCTAACTAATCAGGATACAGTTTATCTAGCTTACCTAACCAATCAGGACACACTGTACCTAGCTTACCTAACTAATCAGGACACAGTGTACCTAGCTTACCTAACTAATCAGGACACATTGTACCTAGCTTACCTAACTAATCAGGTACAGTTTACCTAGCTTACCTAACTAATCAGGATACAGTGTGTTACACTAACATAACCTACCTCATTAGAAGCAGTTTGAATTTTCGCACGAAATATAAAGCCCCCAGTGGCACAATAGTAAGCCTGTAACACTAAAAATCGGGTTTCGATACCCGTGGTGGGCAGAGCACAGATAGTTTATTATTTAGTTTTGCACTTAACTGTAACAGCAAACAAGATATAAATATCAAAAGGTTATTATAATTTGTCCACATACTTATATAAATGTGTGGTTGTCTAATAATCCATCATTAGGAATAGTTATTAAATATAATAAAAACATATCCCGGTATTATTACAAGTTCTTCTTCAAATATTATGTTCATAATTGAATAATGTCTGTTGTTTATGTGTCATCACAAATAACCTTGAATTGATAAGAAAACGCTTTTATGCTAATTATTAGAACTTAATATAAACTCTTATTATATATATTTAATTATATCATACCGTCATGTAAACCAGTGTCGGATCAAACAGACTGTTACAAAATTTCATCCAATAAACGATTAGCATTCAGATGTAACAAAAAGCGAGCTATTCAACGGTCGAGTAGCGAAGACTTCACAATTAGTGTACTTACGTTGTGTTAGTACTGAAAGGTGGGTTGTGAGCTTAACAATGGTCGGTTATGGTTTCCTGAAAAAAAAAAAGGGAAGTGAATTAATGTATATTTGTATACTTTGCTTTGTTGTGTTTGTAATGCTATTGTTTTTAAACCAAGTTAATAAACCACACGTTGGATCCAGTACTGACGTGGTTTTGTTTCGATACACCAAGTAGTGTTAGTGTTCTGGTTTCGTATTTTATTATTTAACAGCAACAACAAAGAAGAAGTTTGCTACCACGACAACGTCAAGCTAGACAGAATTTTATAGCAGTAACAATTTAGTGTTTCTTGCTGACGCAAGTAGCCCTACTCTCCTCTCCAGAGTAGTTTTTGAGCGTGAACTGAAACATCAAATCCGGATAATTGTGTTTCATAAGAAATTGAAATTCTTCGTCTTGCTTCAGTTAAACCGTTTGTACAAAGTGTGCGATTACCGCTTTTAATGTGTGTTCAAAAATGACAAGCAGTCTTTACATGCTGTGTTCCTTGATCAGTACTGTAGGCTATAAGTAGAATCAACACAGCCCGTACTTCTAGTCGCGTAATTTGAATATTAGATATCCAAGTAATGAAACGACAACTTGCCAAAGACAAGTCTGATCACGTGACAGAACTCTTCTAAACAGGGTGAAGCTGTCTTCCTGCGTTTCATTAGTGGTTTCGGTTCCGTGGCGGAAGGATGGAACGTGCGAGAACAAACATTGCTACGCCTTTAAGAATTTCCCCTTCATTAGTTGCAATCATGAAACATCCAACTGCGTGATTTTTTACAGGATATCCGTTTAAATTAGTCTGTTTGGTATTACTGATATTTTTACACACAGTGTTAAAAGTTATTCATTTCCTCACGAGTTAACTTCAAAAATATATGCAAGGGAACACATACACTCTGACTGAGCGTCGTAGTTATAAAACTTGTTTACAGTGACACATGTTCCGAAAAGGATGCTATGACGATATACAAGAAAACAACTGATGTGATGGCAACTTGGGTGAAACGTTTTTACGGTAAGAATAACAGGATCACATTATGATATTATCTTTCAATGAATAATTCCAAGTAAATATACATGATACTTTTTATATAGTGACGGTAATAATATTGGGTTTAACTCAGTACTATTAGTATTAGTGTTTCCATCTTAGCAAGATTTACATCCTTCTCACTAACTAAGGCAAGTGGAACCAGGTTAATGTATTGAAGTTTACATCTAATTTATCCACGTTAAAATATTCTAATCAAATTGATATATTTTATTTATCCGAGATTTAGATCAGGTGATATACGCAATATTCTTAGAATCAAATCATTTGATTGAATGATACCAGAGTTGACGTGAATGACGTGTTGCTAATTGCGCCAGTAGTTTCGACGGAAGACCCGGAATATTCAGAAACTATTATCTCTCCTCTTGTGAAAGATGAATGAATACCAAATAAGAAGGAAAAAAATTATTACTTGCGGAGAGAATTGGAAAACGAGAAATGTTTTTGTCACGAACTAGTAGTATTAGCAGCACTAGTAGAAGCTTAAGCATGTGTGTTTTACAGCTTACAAGACACTTTCACTTAAAAGCAATAAACAATAAACGAGATATGACTCTAGAAACTTGGCGTATTTAAGTTTTAGGAGTTTAAGAAAGAGTCGACAGAGACTTTCTTGAAACAATTATGTTGGCTTTATAATGATTTCCAAAGAGAATGAGATGGTCAGATATATTGTTTGTTTGTTTTGAATTTCGCGCAAAGCTACACGAGGGCTATCTGCGCTAGCCGTCCCTAATTTAGCAGTGTAAGACTA